GGGGGGGGGGGGGGGGGGGGTGGGCTGTGCACAAACGTGAAGGCCCAATTCAAGTCCTATTCATAAAGTTATTTTTTTTACTAGTAGCTGTAGTTCTAATTGACAATAATCAGTTCTGAAGAAACTTTCACCTAGGTGTGCTTTCAGTGCTTTTTTTTTGTGCTGAAAATGCCTGTAAAATTGTTTTAAAAATATGCCTTACCTGCCTGTGTTCTGCTGGCACCATACATATATGTGTATGTATACTCCCCCCCGCGCTGAAAAATAACTCAAACCCACCCCACCCCCCGACACTGAACTACAGTTCTGGACCCCTTGTATGCATTTTAACAATGAGTCTTTTTCTTTTAGTCAAAGTGGACCCAGATATATATCCTGTGTCACTTAACTGTTCAGTACGCAGATTCTTGTAAATCTCAGCTACTTGGGTCACATTCTCTGTCAGTGTTGGAGTAAGAATTTGAAGTAAGGTGGATTGATATCTGCATGCTGGTGGGATTTTATTTGGGAGATCATAAATGGCCTTCAGCTTTGAGGATCAAATTTAACCATGATTCTAAAATTTAAAATGAGAACTAGAAGTACTGTCTCCCCTGCCCCCACCTTGACCAGCTTCAAGGTTTCTAAGTGAACTGGCCTCTATATTCCTCGTGCCTCTCTTGTCATTGCTAGCTCAAGAAGACTACCCATGGGTGTAAGTTTAGGCGTGTGTCAGAGACTTTGCAAGATTGAAGGCAGGCTGATGGATAACAAGGAGAGATTTCTTTCATAAAATTGTGGCTTTTATTCTGAGCTGAATCAAACTGATTCATGTTTGTGTCTGTCTTTCAATCCTGGAAAGTGTCCCGCACCTCTTTATCCTGGACCAAGTGCTTTCTGGGGAGGATTGCATGGATAGCAGGCTGGTCCTCTGTCCCTGGGAGTGACTCTCAAAGGTGGTCTGGTTTTCTAGAGCTGCTGAGTTCCTCTGCAGAATTCAACCCTTGCATGATTTAATCTTGGCTCTGCAGAGCTTGTAATCAGAGGGTGCCTGGATCTCTGCTGGTGGGGTATGTGGGTGTTGAGAGCTCAGCTGTGCCTGTGATTGCTGCTGCTGCTGTGGTTCCTGGATTCACCCATGAATGAGATCTGAATACAGTCTCTGTTAACAGCTGTTCTCAATCCATAGGAAAATCAAACGCTGAGACTGAACTACCTAACCTGAAACTGCTTTTTCTTCCAGGGAAAGTGCTGCATGAGATTAAAAGCCTTGTCATTGAGGAGCCAAAGTATTGGCTGGATGTTATCTCTATTTGGAGAAACCTTCATGGGTGCGGGGGACAAAAAGATAATGTCTCTCAAGAAAACCCATCACCTCTCAAGAGAAAATCAGAAGAGGCAAACATTGCAACTAAAAGGCAGAAAATGGAACAAGTGAGAGGGACTATGTCTGAGGAATGTAAGGCGGAAGGCAGAGAGAGGTGTGTGGTACCAGAGAGAAAGAGTGATCAGGACTGCTGGACTGAAAGCAAGACTTCCTTAGAAGACCCTTCCAAAAGCAGTGGGGAGGAACCTATTGCAAATGAGCAGCTTAGCTTCAGTTTCAGAGTTTCTTGTCGTTGTAGTGGAGCAATTGCCAAAATACTTACTTCACAGGTATGCTAATGTGTCTATGTTTTAAAAGAGTTTAGCAAAGGTGAAGAGAGATGGTAGTTAATTTGTCATTTCAATTATGTGTTGCATGTTTTGGAATAACAAACTGATGAAAGCTTTTTCTGTATTTTTTCAAAAAAGCCCTTAACCTGCATTTACCTTAAACAAGTGGAAATACAAAGGCTGTTGTTAATTTCTGGGTGCTATTACCCTGAATATTTTTCAAATCAATGCCTTTTATTGAGGATAAGTAAAGGGAATAGGTTGAGGTGGCTGGGCTTCTGGAGTCTGAGGAGTGATCTGATAGTAGTTTACAGCTACTTAAAGGGCCATAAGAGCCACACTCCTCTCAATTGTGGCAGACAGTGTAAAAGAAGGTGCAAAACCAGAACTTTGCAGCTTCGGTGGTCTCTGGTTGGGTGTTGGGGAGAACTTGTTCCCCAGGAGGGTGGTGCAGCCCTGGGAGGCATCCTGGGGAATGGATCTTAGTCCTTGGGAGAGAGCGCTGGGGTAGAGACATCCAGTGGCCCTTTTTTCTGCTCCTCTTCCCATCTGTAATATCTTTCTACTGTGAGGAAACTAAAAAAATAAAACCTGTGTAGATGCAATTTATGTAGATTTCTCTTCCTTGAAGATAACAGTTGTTTAACTAGATATTTTTTTTCCTACTAAAGCTAGTACCTTGGGAAGATGGCATACATGAGCCTGCCAACAAGAATGTTTGCTTAAATTTGTGCTGTGTGTTTGAACTCTCATACTCTGAAGGTAGTCAGAGCTTTCTAGATGCCATAAAAGCATTAAAATTGTGAGTTGCAGTTATGGATTCACAGATTTTTCTCTTAGGTGATCTAGTTTATAGCCATCAGAAATATTTTGTGTGTGATATATAATTCTAAAATGATGACAACTTGTTTAGTAACTTGGGCAGGACTTAAACTTCAGCCTCCCACACTCCAGCTGAGTGATATTAGTTTTGTCCTATGGTGTGTTTGCTCTGCCCCTCGCTTGCTCTGCCCTCTTGTACCTCTTCTGGTCTTTGTACAAATTGTTCTCCTAGGGATAGAGAGAGAGACTCTTTCTTTTCCCAGGTATTTCTAAGGATTGTGCAGTCAAGGCTGTGATCTGTAGTTTTGTTAGATCTGTTATTTTTACTGCCCATGACTATTTTTCCCCCTTGCAGGAGATTGGAAGAGCTGTTGGCATAGCGCTCATGAAGCAGTGTGGGTGGCGAGCTGATCTGCGGGATGCTGATCTAGAGGTAGTGGTGCTTGTCTGCCAGATGGTCTGTTGCTTCTTCCAGATTTGCCCCCAATTATAATTTGTTTTGTTCAATGCTCCCTATGCACTTAAGGACCATGGCCTCTCTCTGTTTGTCTTTCTGCTGCTGAATTTAACTAGAAATCATCTGGTAGCACTAAGCAAAGCTTTTTAGTAGCCACTGTGTATGTGCCTTGAAATAAATACCAGAATGGCCAGCATGGGCCTGTACATTAGGCAAAGGATCCATACAGGCGATGTCTCAGGATCTGGCACACTTACAAACCGCTGGACTCTGTGTTAAAAGTGGAGATCACCTGTGCCATTGGGCAGCTAGCTTAGCCTCTGTAGGTGAAGAGAGCAAGCAGCAAGGTCACGTTCTCAAGGAACTCGAGAGTGCTGTTTCTGAAAGAGCCTCCTCCTAGACTCTGTCCCTGACAAGCAGCTTGCTTAAGACACCATCTGTGGTGCAAGCTGCCTGGAGACCTTGGAAAGGAGTCATTGCTCTTCACAAGCTGTTTCTCCATTCCTGTGCTTGGCATATGGAAGCTGCTCTCAGCACTGATGCTGGGAGGTCTGAGGCCTTCTCTAAAAGCTCTGAGTTCATCTACTGGCTCTGGTTTTCCCAGGGCTATGCATTAAATATGGCTTTGTTGAGCCTCAACTGGGGCTCTCGTTCTTGTCCACATTTTTGCTCTGAAACCATTCAAGTGCTGAGGACTGTGATACAGCAAAAGCATCGTGTTTCTCTTTGGGCTTCCTGGGGACGGACTGCAGTCATGCAAGACCTGTTGGGGAGCTCAGTCATCTTCTGGGATGCTTCTGTGGAATAGAAGGACAATTTCTTTGAGCTGCCTGTATTTCTGGAAGAATTGCCCATATTTGCCTTCCATCTGAAATGCCCCTTAGTGGCACTTGTGGGGTTTTTGTGGTTTTGGTTTTTTTTGTTTTTTTTTTTTAAAGGAGGGGGGTATGTGAATAGCTGAGTGCTAGTATACAGTGAATAATCTTCTCCTGCTTAGAGTAAATGGTATTATAATTAAAAATATCCATTCAGTGTTACAAAAATCAGTTCCATTAAAGATTCAAGTGCTTGCTGATGGATTCCTGGCTGGCAAAATTCCTCTCCCAGCTTGCTTAAATGTTAAATCCCCTTTAAAGTAGCATTCAGATTATCTAGTGTGATTTCTTCAAATTAATCATAAATGTCTAAAGTGTGTATTTTTGTTCTTAAAAACTAGGATCAGAAGTTCATAGAAACATTTTCTGTGTCTGGTTTA